ACAATGCTGGGTAAGAAATGTACTCATTACCTTGCTCATGTAACTGTAACCCCCTTGTACAGTATTTTCACAATAAAAGGCTTAATTTTAACAAAAAGAAAGAAAGATGCCTCCAGGAATGGACAAATGAAAAAGCTCTGAAACTGATGTGGCCCTATGATCTTCTTAGAAATGAGGTCAGGCTGGGCTAGTACCTCCCCCCCTCCTCCCACTGCAGCACCCACAATCTCTCAGTCCTCCTCAGAGCCCTTCATGTGTGCACATTGGACATGCTTCTCCATGCTTTGGTGTGGGACATCTGTCCTTCTGCTCCCTTCCCATGTGCCAGGACCAAGTGTTCCCATGTGTCCCCACCAAGCTCCCTGCACAAGATAGACTTTGCTCCGTCCTATCAGACTGCACTAGATGTATCCCCTGGATAAAACAAGAGAAAAGCTTGACCCCCTCCAAATCTCCAACCCGACTCCAGCTACACAAAGTCATAACAAGATTTCTTCTAAGGATTACATAGAGCCACATGCCCCCTACACCCAGAACAGTAATGGTGGCAGAGAGTTGCTCCTTGTACCCTTCAGCTACAGTGGCAGAACAGCAATAGCAGCAAAAAGCCTGATGCTGGAATGGATAGCCTGTGCTAGAATTCATGCCTACAGCTTGTGAGCTCTCTGATCATGAACAATTTACTTAACCTCCATGTCACTGGGCTTGAACTCAGAGACTCTTACTTTCCTTTGATGTTTGTTGCTCAAGACTGGTGCCCTGCCACTTGAGCCACGTCTCCACTTCTGGCTTTTTGCTGGTTACTTGGACATAAGAGTCTCACAAAGTTTCCTGCCTGGGCTGGCTTTGAACTTTGATCCTCAGATACCAGCCTCCTGAGTAGCTAGGATTACAGACATGAGCCACCAGCCACTGGGTTGATAAGAGGATTAAGTGTGTTGATACTTGTAAAAGGCTTACAACAATGCTTGGCACACTGTAAGTACTTCTATGTGCTGAACAAGTAACTTCCTTCCTTTATGCACTCAACTTATACTGGTTACCAGCCATGTTATCTTGTACCAACAATTGAGAGAGGAGAAACAAAATGCCTTTGTTTTCTCCCATAAGGTTGGATAGGAAGTTCTCATATTCCTGTAAGTTATGCTCAGATAGAGAAGCCTTGGGAAAGGAAGCCAGGGTTGTGGGAAGGCAGGAGAGTGAGGTCGCTTGGAAGCTGACGGGCAAGCAGCAGACCTAGAGGCCAGTACCTCGGACAGCTCCAAACCAGCCTGGGGAAGGGGGCGTGCCCTGCCCAAACTCAGGGCACGCCCTGTACTTCGAGGGCATGTTACCTTGCAAATGGACAGCACAGTACGATGAGGTGCAGCAAACAGGAGGGCAGCATGAGGGCCACAGGGCAGGTCCCACAGCCTGGGCTTAAATACAGGCTCTGAGGCTGGTCTTGCAGGAAACTGTCACAGCTTCTCCACGCCCAGTTTACCAATCCAGTGCAGGACAGAGGAAGGATGTAATTCAACAGCACAGAGCTAGAGCTTAATAAATGAGTGTACTTTCTGCCCAATAGGAATGGGGGGGGGGAGGAGATTAGGAATAGACCCTCCCCCTGCAGGTGGGGTGTGGGGGGCGGGGGCTTGTCTTCACACTCAGGAACCACCATGAATCCATTATATGGGCCAGAGAGCTGAGAAAAGAGGCATATAGAAAGCTTCTCTTCTAGAAGATTCCATTGTTCTTCAGCTATTAGAAAACTGCCTCCAATCCTTTCCCACCTCCTGTTTTATTCAGACAGGTCAACAACATATGCATAAGCAATCACTTTTCTGCAGTCTATGCTTTTAAATGGCTCAGAAGGAGAGAGTCAAAAAAGCCCAGTCTTAAACTCAAGTGGCTGGAGAACCAGGCAGATGATATAAACATGTGATGCTATGGGTTGGGGGGGGGGAGGGAGTGGCACTAGGAGCTGTAGTGAGTGTGTGTGTGTGTGTGTGTGTGTGTGTGTGGTATCTGAGTCAGATAACATTTAATTCTCCCACACCCAAAGAGCTTCTTTCTCAGCATGTGTTTCTGTCTGAAGATCGCAGTGGTGGACTTTCACAACCCCTTACTAGACAGCCCCCCCCCACCCCAGGAGGAGTCCAGGGGAGGGATGGTGACTTGCCCAAGGTCATCCAGGACCAGGCATATCCCTGTATTTGGTTCTTTCCCTCTCTTGGACAGAACAGGTAAGCCACAGTAGAGCATGTACAAGCAGGATGAGTGCCGGGCTGGGTGAGGAGACCAGGCAACAGATGGCAAGACTGTTACCTCTTATCCTGATGCTCTACTCTCCATCATCTCATCCCTCTGCTGGCTCAGGAACAGAAGACAACTTCTCAGTATATGCTGCACCAGCCTAGGCAGAGCCCGGTCAAAGAGTGCTCCCCTAACCAGAAGGACCAGCCGATACTCTCAGGGGAAGAACACAAAGGCACAATGCCTATGTGCCTCTAATCATATAAAATAATATTTATCTAAATGAATTCCAGAAAATGGAAACAAGAGGATTTCTCTTTGTTGTTGCTTTTGTTTTCTTTTCTTTTTTGTCATGTTTGTTGATCTGTCTTTGGGAGGGTAAGGGAGAGGCATAGAAATGGAGGAACAAAGGGTGAACAAATGCAGCTGTGCTACTCACTGGACACTATGCTGAAAATGGACTATACAACTTCTGGATGAGGATGGGAGGCAAAAACGGGGAGAGAGCAAAGAAAGGGGTGACGCTGACCAAAAAGAAATGTACTCATTATCTGATTTATGCAACCATAACCCCTCTGTACATACTTTTATAATAATAACCCCCGGTTAAGGGGAAGGACCAGCCAGGTAACCAAGGTTCTCTTGTTCCTTTTATTTGTTCTTCACAAGAACTTCAACTGTGACAAAAGTATATGAAAGCATATCTGCCAGAAGGTGGTGGCTCACACCTGTAATCTTAGCTACTAAGGAGGCTGAGATCTGAGGATCATGATTTGAAGCCAGCCAAGGTAGAGAAGTCTGTGAGACTCTTATGTCCAAGTAACCAGCAAAAAAGCAAGAGGAGATGTGGCTCAAGTGGTAGAGAACCAGCCTTGAGCAAAAAAATCCAAGCCTCAGGCCTGGAGTTTGGCCCAGTAATGGCACAAAAAATGCAAGCCAGCACGTTACAATGACAGTAATAGTAAGTATTTACATTGCTTACTAGGTGTCGGGCACCCTTTACAGACACAAAAGAGACACAAGGACAGAGACGGAAGAACTTCCCCAGAGGTACCTTTATCTAGTAAGTGGCCAGGCTGGGAGCAGTTGTAGTTGTCTGCATCTAAGGCCCAGATAGGATGATGCCCCCAGCTGGGAATCTGGAAGACAAACCAACTGTCAGCTCCACACATCAGTCTCCACAATGCTAGCTGCCCTAGATCCTTTCTGCTGCCAGCCCGAGCACTGGAATACCGGCTCTATGTGCATGCAGGGTCAAAGCTCTTCTGAGGACACACCGGCACTTCAGTATGTAGAGCCCTCTCCGGAAGGTGGGCCTCCTCCAGGCCTGGGCAGTCAGCAAAGCTGCCAGGCCCTGCGCAGTGAGTGGGCGCGAGGGAGGACCGCGCCGGGCTTCTCGGCTCAGGAGAGGACCTGGGCCCGCTCCACTCTCATGCCCACCGGGGGCCTGGCGGCTGCTCTGGAGAAGACGGAGGGAGGGTCTGTAAAAAGTGGGCAGGCTCCGAGCAGAGGGAGGGCTTGGGGTCCGGAAAGAGGGTCTGGGAGGAGTTAGGAGTGGGGAGGAATGGGGAGGAGGGAAAGGAGAAGAGGCGGAGCTGGGATTCCCGTGCTGGGAAAACGGAAATCTAGAGTCCGAGCAGGGGGAAGGTGCCAGGGCACTGCGGGAGATTCAGAGGAGCAGCTCTGACACTCGGAACCCCGCGTGGGGTCGAGGGGACTTCTCCCTTCCAGTCCTCACAGGCTCACAGTTGAGAATTCCCTGCGTGGCATTCTCCCCAAGGGCCTTGGGTGGATTTGAACCCGGCCGGGCAGTCTCAGCGCTCCCCTCCCTTCCCCCTGGGGGTGGAAGGGGCCAGGGGGGCGGGGCTAGGAAAGGGTTCGGGGTCCGCACCCAGCCCCCTCCACCCCCTCCAGGCGGACTCCCCACTCCACCTGCGAGCGCAGAGGGACGTCGCCGGCTCACCTCGGGGGCTCCCTGCCCGCGGCGCAGATCCGGGCTGTGGCTGGAGTCTCGGGACTCCCCGGCAGTCCCCCTCTCCTTGCGGGCCGCGAAAAGCTGGCTGCCGGGCTCCTCTTCCCGGGAGAGCAGAGCGAGCGCTCGCCCCGCGGGTGATAGGACCTGGGGTGGGTGGGGGGCTCGGCGGAAGGGCCGCTCCCCTCCCTCGGCGCCCTCTTTCCTCCCCACGGGCTTCTCCAGGACTCTTCCTCTCCAAGACCCCGGCCCGGGCTCCCAGCCCCGGCGCCCCGGAGCGGACCCCCGCCCGGCCCCGCCCCGCCCTCGGACCCGCCCCGCCGACGTCGTATTAGCATGAGCGACGCAAGTGGCCGGGGCGCCACTCGGGGGCTGAGACTCGCCGCGTCACAGCCCCGAGTGGAAAGGAAAAAAGAGGAGGCGGCGGAGGAGGCAAGCGCGGCGCGAGGGGCGGGAGCGCGGCGGGCGAGGGCGCGGGCGGCAGCGGGCGCCCTCGGCCGGGCGGGCGGGCGAGGGGAGGGCGGGCTGCTCGGAGCGCTCCCGGGGCACGGCGCGCCCGGTCTCCGTCTGCGGCCGCCCCTGAGCTCGAAGCGGGTCGGCTGAGAGCCGCGGCGGCGGCGGCATCGCGGGAGAGAGCCCTTCCCTTTCTCTAGGCGCGGGGGCATGAGTCCCGCGGCCACCTGAGGAAAGGAGGCGCTGCGCGGCGTGGACCGCGCCCCCCGAAGTCCCGCACCCTCGTCTCTGCACTGCGGGACGCCCTCGCCGGGTCCTCGGAAGGGCGGCGGGTGGGGGCATGGAGCCGTCGGCACCCGCGGGCCAGGCCCGGGCGGCAGCCGCCAAGCTGTCGGAAGCGGTGGGCGCGGCGTTGCAAGAGCCACAGCGGCAGCGGCGCCTGGTGCTGGTCATCGTGTGCGTGGCCTTGCTGCTGGACAACATGCTGTACATGGTCATCGTGCCCATCGTGCCCGACTACATCGCCCATATGCGCGGGGGCAGCGAGAGCCCCACGCCGACCTCCGAGGCATGGGAGCCCACCCCGCCGCCGCCCACCCGGGCGAATGCCAGCGCCTCCTGGGCCAACGCCTCGGCGTCCCCGACGGCCGCCGGGCCCGCCCGGCCGGTCCTGAGGCCCCGCTACCCCACGGAGAGCGAGGACGTGAAGATCGGGGTACTGTTTGCCTCCAAGGCCATCCTGCAGCTGCTGGTGAACCCCCTGAGCGGGCCCTTCATCGACCGCATGAGCTACGACGTGCCGCTGCTGATCGGCCTGGGCGTCATGTTCGCATCCACCGTCCTGTTCGCCTTCGCCGAGGACTACGCCACGCTGTTCGCGGCGCGCAGCCTCCAGGGCCTGGGCTCGGCCTTCGCGGACACGTCCGGCATCGCCATGATCGCCGACAAGTACCCCGAGGAGCCGGAGCGCAGCCGCGCTCTGGGCGTGGCGCTGGCCTTCATCAGCTTCGGAAGTCTGGTGGCGCCTCCCTTCGGGGGCATCCTCTACGAGTTCGCGGGCAAGCGCGTGCCCTTCCTGGTGCTGGCCGCCGTGTCCCTCTTGGACGCGCTGCTGCTGTTGGCGGTGGCCAGGCCCTTCTCGGCCGCCGCGCGCGCCCGGGCCAACCTGCCTGTGGGCACGCCCATCCACCGCCTCATGCTGGACCCGTACATCGCGGTGGTCGCCGGAGCGCTGACCACCTGCAACATTCCCCTCGCCTTCCTGGAGCCCACGATCGCCACGTGGATGAAGCACACGATGGCGGCGTCCGAATGGGAGATGGGCATGGTCTGGCTGCCGGCCTTCGTGCCGCACGTGCTGGGTGTCTACCTCACCGTGCGCCTGGCGGCACGGTACCCGCACCTGCAGTGGCTGTACGGGGCGCTCGGCCTGGTGGTGATCGGCGCCAGCTCGTGCCTCGTGCCCGCCTGCAGTTCTTTTGCCCCGCTCGTCGTCTCCCTCTGCGGCCTCTGCTTTGGCATCGCGCTGGTCGATACCGCGCTGCTACCCACGCTCGCCTTCCTGGTGGACGTGCGCCACGTCTCGGTCTATGGCAGCGTCTACGCCATCGCTGACATCTCCTATTCCGTAGCCTACGCGCTCGGGCCCATAGTGGCGGGCCATATTGTGCACTCGCTTGGCTTTGAGCAGCTCAGCCTTGGCATGGGCTTGGCCAACCTGCTCTATGCGCCGGTCCTGCTGCTCCTGCGCAACGTGGGCCTCCTGACGCGCTCTCGCTCCGAGCGGGACGTGCTGCTGGACGAGCCGCCGCAGGGTCTCTACGACGCGGTGCGCCTGCGCGAGCGGTCCACGCCAGGCCCCGACGGCGACGCTGGCAGCCCGCCCGGCCCTTTTGATGGGTGCGAGGAAGACTACAACTACTACTACACCCGCAGTTAGCAATCCGGCTCCTCCCCCAGGCCACCCTCCCCCCCCACTTGGCCCTGGGTGGCTTGCTCTGCGAGCTCACCCTCACGGGGCCGGCCGACTCAGGCTTAGGGGCCGCCTCCTCCAGCGTGTACCCCAGTCCCTCCCCCGTCTTCACTTCCCTTGCCAGTACCCCTCTCTGCAAGCCATTTTCTCCTCCTCTCTCTAATCCAAGTGAGCAGGGAGCGGGGAGATACCGAGAAGCCCCTGCGCTCCCAGCAGAGGTGGGAGGTGTGCGGGCCCTCACCTCAGCTCCCCAGAGCAGAGCTGGGCGTCTCCGTCCTTCCGTCCTTCCGTTTCTTCAAGTTGCCAAACGTGGCCTGCTGCACCGCAGTGCCTCCCGCCCCAATTAATAAACCGTGTCTGTCTGAAGAGGCCGAGTCTCTTTACTAGTGAGGGGTGGGTGGCCTGGCACAGAGCTGGAGAAGGGAGGATGAACCGAAGAACGCGGGAGAGTCTTGTGGCTCCTTTGCTACTGGGTGGGGAGGGGGAACATCAAAGGAAGCAAACGCAACAGGGGCTCTCACCCACCGACTCGCTCCTGGGCATGGCGCAGCGCCCGAGGGTGCCGCCCGGGGGAGCCTGGGATCCTCTCACGCGGTACCGGCCGGCCCTTTAAAGACACGCCCAAACCACAAAGCTGCGGGGAGCCTGGGCCGGGCTTCCCTTCTTCTGGGATCCCGCCCCATCCAGGCTTTCGAAAAGGAGTGAGGCCGAGGAAAAATGAGGCCCGTCTTCCCAGGGCTGACTTTGGACTATGCGAGTCCGTTAGGGAGCTAGAGTCTGTCTCAGAAAGGAGTGTCTGCTGGGTCACAGCCAAGCTGGTGTGAGTCCCCAAACGGAAGGAATGGGGAGGTGGGAGGGGTGCCCACTCTCCCCCCAAGTCGTCCTGAAGTGGAGGTAGCCACTCAAGGCTGCTTCGCCCTCTGAGTCCCCATGGTGTGGGTGCCTTCAGTCTTGGAATCAAATCCCCCTGCCAGGGAGAGGCGGTGGGGTCGGGTGAGTCTGCTCTGCTGGTGTGCGCTTCCTGTGTGTCTGTCCTGGCTCTGCAAATCTGACTGGGGGAGGGTCGTGTCTGTTTTTGTGAGTCTGTCTACCTGTATTCTTAAGGGGGTGGGTGCTTTGGGAAGTGTCTTCTGGCCAAATGTCCCTAAGCAAGATTTGGTCTGCAGAGTGGGCCCATGTCTGTATTTCTTCCTCTCTACCTCTCACCTCAAAGATCCAGCACAAATGGTATGGGAGGGTGGGGGTATCCCTACAATGATCAGCCAAAAGATGCTGATGCTTATGATAATAATAATTATTATTATTATCATTAGGGACGTAGTAGGGTTTGACCCTCAGCTGGGGGCCAGGGCAATGTGCAGTGATTTCCTGTGACTCAACATGCCCCAGGATTCTGTAAATATCGCTGCAGAGGGGACAGTGGTGTTGGGGGACTTCAGGGACCGGGCAAGGCTGGGCAGGAGGGCAATCAGTGCCCCTTCTTGGTACCAGTGAAGGAGCTCCTCCTGGAAGCCACCAGGGCTTCTGGAGGACAGAGACCAGAGGTGGGATGGCAAGGCGGGGCGAGGGCGGGGGGTGGGGACGGAAGATGGAAAGGAAAGGGGAGGAGGGAAGGGAAGGGAGAGGAAGGAGGAGCCGGAGGAAGGAGAGGCGCGGCCCTTTGGCTCGCTGCTAGTCGGGCGGCCGCTGGGACCCCGCGACGTCGGAGGCTCTCCCAAGGACTCAGGCGGGCGGCAGCCTCCACACCTGCGCTGCGAACTCGCTCCCTTCCCAGCCCTTGTTGCCAACACCCCATCCCCGGTCCTGCTGAGTTCTAAGTAGCGGCAGCCGAGATAGCAGAACCCAGGAGAGCAGGTGAGAAGGGCCGGGCTGGGCAGGAGGAGCGGGGCTCGGCGCGGGCGCGGAGCCCTAGGGACCAAAGGCACCAGGGACCAAGGCGCTGCTCTCGGGGGGCGCTGTCCACCCAAGAGCAATGCCCAGGCTGATACTGCGGTCTTGGGGTTCACCGCGTTGAAGCGGCAGCGGCCGTCGGGGAACGGAACGCGCTGTATGCTGCGGGGTGCCGCAGCGTGGGTGTCTGGGCTTGGAGAGGTTTTAATACCAGGGCTCGGGGACTCCCCGCGCGGGTTCTGCTCCGACTCCACCTAGAGCGACGTCTGCGGAGCGCTGAGGTCTGCTTTGTGTGTGAGTCGAGGGTCGAGGGTCGGTGGGACGTATTCCTGTCGTACTTGGTGGGTGCCTAGCTCTTTCCAGCCCCTTGTAGGAAGATGGGGGAGGGAGGAAGTCGGCTTCAGTCTGAGCCAGGTGGCAGCGCAGAGCACGGAGACGGACCATGATACTGGACCAGCCAAGGGCTGGACTTCCAGAATAGAGCAGGGATCTTTCCCAGTAGCCTTGCAAGCCAGGCTAGTGAAACACCAGAAAAATATGTATGCAAAATCCTATGGCTGCTGGCCCAAGGGCAGAGAGGGAAGAGGAAGAATCACCAGGAAATGATCTGTCTGGGTTCTGTGCCTCTCTCTAAGATGCAGGGTCTCTGAGGCCTGACCAGTGCCTCTGGCATTTCCCTTTGCCGACTGGCATGACTCTTGAACTAGTGTAAGAGGACACAGCAGCTACTCCAGCGGTTGGGCCTTTTCTAATCTGACTTCATCTCAGTGTGCCCCTGTTCAAACAGCACACACTAAGATGGACCCTCATCCAAGGACTGATACCCTAATTCTGCAATCCAGGGCAGCCCCTCACTCTTTATGCAGGACTGGGCTTGGGGTTCAGGGAGTACCGTCCACCTGCCTGCAAGGGCCTTACGTTTTCTGTTCAGATGGGCCATCCTTGGGCCTGCCTCATCCATCTTTCTGAATGCTGCGTCTCCAGGGTAAACTGAGCTGTGGACCAGTACCTGGGCCTTGCCTCTGAGTAGGGTCAGTGGTATGGGCAAAACAACTTTAGGCTCTTGAGAGAAGAAGAAGCAGGTTGATGGGCATCCTGAGTGCTAATTAGGTTAGACAAGAGATTAGAAGTTTAGATTTAGGTAGGGTCTGAGGGCGGATGGTACACTTCAAAGCTTTAGAAAGTAGTGTGTGCCTTTCTTAGCCTGGATGACTTCTGTATATTGTCCCTGAGTTTCAGGTGGCTCTTCAGGGTCCTGACTACCCAGCTTCCTGCATCACCTCTCTCCATAGTCCCATGCTACTTATACTTGGATCCTGCTGACCTAAATCACAGCCCACCCCAGTAAGCCTGAACGCCCTTCTTTTTCTGGCCACAGGTCAGATCCCGAGCAGCCCAGGGTGCTACCAGAGCTCAGGTCTTAGAGGCACAGGTTTGTTCACATATATAGGCATTCCTTTCCTCAACTGACCTACCTCCCCCTCCTCCACACATGCCCAGGCCGACTCTGAGCACATCAGGCAAGCACATCTTGTCCTTGGGAAGCTCACAGTCGAGTGGGATAAAGAAGAGATTTGAATGAATTAGAGTCACAGTAGCGTCTTGAGAGCAGGTACCACTTGAGGACCCGCCCTCTCCCATCTGGTCATTGTGATCAGGGGACAGGAGTGAGGTCCAAGATTAGAGCCCCACCTGCAATGAGGCTCTTGTTAGGCTCTGGGGTGAGGGGTTCATGGCAGGTCTACATGACTCTCGTGTGATGCTGCTACTTCTTGGTCCCCAGGTCTGTACCTCTGCTTCTCCAGACCAGGAGTCACCACGATGCCCATCCTGGAAAAAGTCCCCCATAAGACTGTCGTAAAAACTGCCAGCACTGAGGAGGAATCTGTGAGTGACTTTGACGTTATCCATCTTATTCCTTCTCTCCCTACTCCCATGCCCTTGCATTCAGGACAGTCTTGAGTGGGACTGGCCCTCGGCATTTGCTGGTTCCCCAACCCTGCCTTCTCTAGGAGACACTGTAGCCCTTCCCTGGATGGGCTAGGATGGTACCCATAACCATACTTACTAATCCAAGGCCAGGGAGAGCCTGTCACTTCTACAGGTACTGTCCTCCCAGCTGATACTTTTCTTCCCTCTTCTTCCCTCTACTCTCCCCTATACCCTAATGTCTGTTTTCTGCTTCCATGGCTTTAAGTCCAGTGGGGTAGCCTAGGGTGAGGCTGAATTCTTTATCCTCCCCCTTGCCACATTTCAGCCCCAGCTGTCATCACTGGTTCAGCCCTGGAGCATTAAAACAGCATCTTTCCCACTGGTTTGAGACAATGCTACCCTCCCTGGGCAGCTTCTCTGGGCAGATGTTCTCCCTCCACCTGAGCAGCCCTGGAGTGATAGAGTAATAAATCTGACTTCAGGTTGTTGCACATGCCTGTCCCTCTGCCACATGCTTTCCATTCCCCAACTTCACATGCATTTGAAAGACTAACCAGAACTTCCTGGCCTTCACCTGTGAAGTCGCTCACTGCACTGCCCTGATCTGTGCTGCTCACCTATGCCCCTGCCGTTTTCCCATCCATGGACTTCCCACAGTCCCCTGTATTGGACTAAAGTGTAAGCTCTATCTCTCCATTACCTCTGAGTCCAGTCTTGGGCTGACTCACACAAAAGCTACAGGGAATATAGATGGATCAGAAACTCTTGGACTTCAGGGTCTGAAGTCCAGGAGAGTCTGAGGAGCCTTCCTAGGGCCGAGGTGTCAGATCTGAGATGTCCTGCTTTCTTGGTACCCAGGCTGAGTCCTCGTCCCTCTGAGAGCCCTGAGAAATGGTGACCTTTCTGAAGCCTGTTACACTTTTGTATACCAACTGGGCTGGGCTTTCTATAGAATCTTACCCAGCCACTGGCCACCCAGGCCACTCAAAGAGAGCAGAGTGGCTGGGTAGGAAGGCTGGACCTGACTGGAAATGGGTTGAGCAACCTGGGATGCTGCCCAGACCTGTCCTGGCATGGTTCCCCAGGGCAGAAGCAGCCCATAGTTGGTACCAACAGCTCTGCCAGAGCAGTGAACTCTAGAGACA